TGGCACTCTAGACTAGGGCATGCAGCAGTCAATGTAGTGACCAAAGTTATGAAAAGTTGTAATGTACCCTTTTTGATCAATGAAAAGTTCCTATGCAGTTCATGTCTTCAAGCTAAATCTCATGCATTACCTTTTAGTGATTCTGTTTCTGAGTATTCATATCCTCTACAGCTTATTCACACTGATGTGTGGGGGCCCTCACCCATCACATCTCAAGCTAATTCTCATTACTATGTTTGTTTTGTTGATCACTGCACTAGATTCACTTGGATATACTTCCTAAATAGAAAATCTGAGGTTCATGATGCCTTTGTTCATTTTAAAACCTTGGTAGAAAATCAACTCAATTTCAAAATCAAAACTGTCCAAAGTGATGGAGGTGGAGAATTCATTGCCCTTACCAAACTTTTCAATGAATCTGGGATTGTCCACAGAATTTCATGTCCATACACTCCCTCTCAAAATGGTTTAGCTGAAAGGAGACATAGAACCATAGTTGAAATGGGACTTTCCTTGATCTCCCACTCACAAATCCCACTGAAATACTGGGATGATGCTTTTAACACTGCAGTGTATATTCTTAACAGACTTCCCACAAAGGCCTTAAACTATGTGACACCCTTGGAAAAACTTTATGGTCATAAACCTAATTACAGTTCCTTTAAAGTTTTTGGATGCTTGTGTTTCCCTAACCTGAGGCCTTATAACAAACACAAACTTGAACCTAGATCCTTGCCTGGCACCTTTCTTGGTTACAGTTCCAAATACAAAGGATTTAAGGTTCTCTTGCCAAGTGGAAAGATCATTGTCTCCAGAGATGTTATCTTCAATGAATACAAATTTCCCTTTCACAAACATACCCAAACTGAAGATCCCAGTAATCAAACCTTTCCTCAGATTGATCCTCCACCTGTCTTAACTAAAACTCATGCTCCCTGTGCTAAAACTCATGGTATTAACCAAGAACCAAACCCTCAAAGAACTCTCTCTCAAAGTCCTATTCACTCTCCTAACCTCAGACACTCTCCTCCTACACCTCAACAATCACCCTCATCTCAACAATCTCACGCACCTCACTCCAACAACACAGATCACTCTCAATCTAACACCACAATACCTCTTGTT